TCACGAAACGTTGGCATTCCAAGAATGGATCTGAACACGGAGAAAACCCGCGAAACGCAAGATTGTCACATAAATATTACATTGTTATTCAATTATTATTGCACTTAAATTATTCATCCTTTATATGTAATTTATTTTTACAAGTTCATGAATATATAAATATATATACTTTCTGCATAATGCGCTAATAAAAATGACGAGTTTTTTTGCAAATTAATCTGATGCATTATACGACACGTTATGCGTTGTACGTTATGTATACGCAAGAAAATATATGTATATTGCTACAAGAGGAGAAACGCATTTCCATCTGAAAACTCAATTACGATGTAAGGACACCGCGCAATATTTTCCCCATCGTTTGTAGCGGAAATGCAGCGTAAGAAGTAAATATGACTTACCTTGCCACGTTTCGTGTACTTAAGATACTGGTAGTGATGATTATCGTAATTGAAGTCGCGGGGAGTGAGGGTGATGTCGTGGTTACGGCCCATCTTGCCCATGAGCATCTTCTTCCTTTGCATCTGCGTCTTCTTCGAGTACATTCGCAGATCAGCAACTGCAAAATTCACCTCTGATTAATGTACTCTTCTCGCGGCACACGCTGATTGCAAGTCGCGGCGAAATTACATTTTGTCCCGGCGGCGCAACGCGTCGAAAATACTTGGTTCGTTAGCCCGAATCAACTCGGGCGTGACTGCCGACAAATTGCACGTCAGAAATCGAAAGGCCGACTGCGCTTTTTAACGGTAGGGCACTTTTAGCCCATCCACGACGGCGGGAGTGATTTTTCCGCGCGATGTGCGCTCGGAAGTCCCTGGGTTTGTCGTCGAATATGGTACGAACGAGACGCGAGAGAAGAGACGCTGACTTCAAGTGGAGAACGTCAATAATTCTTTTGCCAGAAAAACAGGAAAATTTTTATGGCGCAAAGCCCGAGTGTTTAAGATAGGATGGTAGGATCTGATTTAAAAGCGGGACGTAGGGTAAAGTTGCCGAAATCGCACCGGCTCTTAAATCGCACTACCTCGCTTAAAAATTCAATTATTGTATTTATATATTTTCTTACGGGTTATTTAAGATCTACATGATACTGTAATGCTACTCTATTATACTCGTGACATGAAGTGCAACAAGAGCGTTGTTATTTACATAAATAAAAAAATCGTGATAGCGTTGCTATTTTTCAACGTATTTCATAGCAGAATTATACAGAAAATATAAGTTAAATAGCCTAAGTCTTGACCATTCGTCGTGATTAGAATATTATTAAAATTAAATTAATAGGATTAAAGTTTGCTTTACATTTTTTTTATAGATAAAATAAATAAAAGTTCAAAAAAAATGCTCTAGTTTCCTAAATCGCACCATAATCTAAATAACTTCTTAAATCGTACGTTACCTAATATTTTTCCATTTCTTACATTTTTATTCCATTCATTATTATGTAAAAATATATATTGTAAATCTACGAAGTGTTTATTTTGTTTCACGTAGAAACTCCTTAAATTACTTCTTGAAATTATCATGTGTTTCAGAAATTACGAAAAATATATATTCTTAAATTTTTAACAGCATAATAAGATACAATTTTTTCCTTTTCTTATGTAATTTTTAAATTTTTTACATTACCATAATGTTTTAAATAAGGAATATTGGTGTGGTGCGATTTAGACAACGAATTTCCTCGTTGCCTAAATCGCACCATACTGAAAAAATCCTGATTTTAAACGTTATAATAGCGCAAAAAAATTATGAAAAAATTACATAAGAAAGGGAAAAGAGTACAGTTTATTATGCTGTAAAAAACTTAAGAACATTCTTCATAATTTCTGAGTTATGAGTTTTAAGTAAAAAGTGGTGCGATTTCGGCAACCTTACCCTATATATAGCGGCAAAAAATAGAAAGATACGACTGAAATTAACGACAGAAGAAGATAAGCATGCAAAAAGCATCACTTGTACTCCGTTTTCACACTTTGTACGTAGTATCGTTTTCAAGTCTTTATTTACTTTTTATCTTCGCAGAACAGATTACTTGTCAAAATTGTGCATCATATTCGTCAAATATTTTATATGTCAACCGAGAACTTCGTGATTGATCTATGCATAAACATTTTATCTCGCGCAGCGGCACGTCATTTTTCATCAAGCTTACTGAATCTCCAGTGGATTATTCGACCGCAAACATGATAGTCCTAACGTCACCACACCTGATAATCGATATTCTGCACGTATGTTATAAACCGTTCGATCGTAAACACGATAACATTTTATTGCTTCATATTAATGTTTAAAACATAAAAGCAATATGCGCGACGTTACGGAATGGCTGATAAAAATGCAACCGCCTTTGGAAACAATCATACGAATCAATCGCCACTCATTAACCATAACCAAATAAACCATTCGAAATTAGCACATGCACTCGATCACGATCGTTATGATTTTCCTGGTAAAACACAAGCGACATCGATACAACTTCATAAAATTCAATTACCACTCGTATACCAACAACCTGGTAAATTTAGATGATTGGAACTTCACTCGTTGATATTCATTAATATCAACGAACATTGAGTAAAATTTATTCCAGGTTTTTTTTCGCTTCGTTATACATTAGCGTTACAAGCCAGAAATTGCTGTCTACATTGCTTTAAATTTTCTACAAAATAAGTACTCCATTCCAGTTTGTTACGTTAAAATACTTACGTTAAAGTATATTTAATATTTTCTAAAACACATTTTATAAAACACATTAAAATATATTTAATATTTTTCAAAACATGACTTGAAATCTTAAAAATATACCTTTTTACTTGTATTATTCATCAATATTCATTGTTAATATTCAATTATAAATATTTTAGTGGCGTTTCTTCACATTTTTACATTTGAAGAATTTTCTCATGAGGTAACAACTGCATCAAAATTGCCTATACAATGGAGCCGTCCATATATTACGTAAGCAAATTTTTGGCCATTTTTAACCCCCCTCCCCATATAAGCAAGCATAAAGATTTCGAAGACCCCCCTCCCTATAATTACGTAAGATTTTTGCACACGTTCGATGTCCAAGACTAAACAAATTTTCAAGGCAGTTACACGATTCTTTCAATATTATTATACGAACGATATAATTGCATTGAAAAAATTTCAGACAAAAGTCTTACGTAAGAATATATGCGACCCCCTCTCCCCCCCTATGTAAGCATTCGTAAGAATTTGTCTGACTCCCCCCTCCCCCAATTATGCTTACGTAATATATGGACGGCCCCTAACACGTGTCAGCTATAAATATATATTTATTCCTTAAATATAGATATATATCTAGTTTTAAAACGATATGCCACAATTACTAAATGCAATTTTATAAATATTGAAAAACATTTAAATTTTCAGTAAAGAAAAACACTACTAAAATTGTTCAAAATATACACGTATATTCTCGTTATTGATATCCATGTCTTTTCTATTTAAAATATGCTGATACTCTTGCATATATGTATATATTGTAGCAACACACAATACATGTAGTAGCAAGCAAAAAGCGCAATTTGAATTTTTCATTATCTAGTAAAGATTTAAGTAGAGAGGCTGTTTTTAGAATATATTTGGAATATATACATACTAAGAAAATTTAATCGTAAATAATACAAAATAAAATAAATTATTATAAAAACTGGTTTTTTTAAATCGCAAATATATTTTGTTAATTTTTTTGTTTATGTCTAACAGATAAAGTTTACCTATATCTGTCAGAATTTAAATCAATAGAAAAGCAATTACCTATAACATAATAATACAATACTATTATTTAGTCGGACGACCACAAGCTTTAATTAGTGTTATATCTCTATTCTGCATAATATTAATTATTGAGAAATAATCAAACTTCGAAAATGTGGTCTAACTTTCACATTATGAAATTGTTTTAAAATATTTCCAATCTAATACTACTCACTATATCATAACGAATCATAAAAATCTATTATCGTTGAACAATAACGGATAACCAATTATGTGGACAAAATAAAGTCATGCATCTTCTTTGCTCGCTATACTGTATATAGTGTATATATGTTAAAAGCATATGACGAATCACCGATTCGCAAATTCAATCGGTTCTGATCTTGTCTGTTCTCCAATTCCACGACGATTCACGATTCGCTCAACGTTTGCTCCGGTACATCACGTTGTATGCCCAACAGCGGCACTATTGTTCTAACCGCCAATTATGAATATTCATGGAAGGTCCACGTGTCGTCGAGGCGCAGAGCGCGATGCAAACGCGGCACACCATTGTGAAAGTTACAATACATACGTATATTCCAACATGAATATGCTTACAAATTGATCTTGCGCGTTAAATCTCGCAGAGAGATTCGCTTTTTACAAATTATCACCGACGTGCTCTCATTTCTGTGATTAACAATTCAGTTAGACTCTCTGTATTATTATCATAAAAATTGGCACGTGATAAAATTTCTATAATACGCTCTCATTTTCTAAAGACCGTCGGACTGCTTTGTCTGCATGCAATTATATTTAAATATTAATTTTATTTCGACTGAATAGAACGAAACTTTATTATTCAATATTATTTTTAGTTATAAACAATTTTTTTAATTATAAATTAATTGTAACTAATTGTAAATTCAATTAGATCCCCTAACTAGGTATACGTGTAACAAAATAATTATTTAGATAATTGTTATTACGAATGACTTCCATCACTAACTTGACACACCGACAATTTAAAAAAAAGAATAAAATTTCGAATGCATGCTTGGCACAGAATTTACGACTTTTTGTGTAACATGTGATCGTGTTAAAAACAACTAGAACATATTACAGAATAAATGGAGCGGTAATGATTTAGTTGGAAACGATTCAAAAGATAGAATTCAATAAGTTTTAGCTACTATTTTATAACGATACGAGCGATAATATTTGATACCTAAGAAGTTTGACTCTTTAATTGTAACGAATTCAAGATTGACACTACTTTATAATTTGTAATGTTTGTTTAGTCATCGAAATATTGAAGATGAAACGACCTAATGAAGATCAAAACGTCTATAATTATCAATATCGAATTCTCTTGACTGGGAATAATGTGGTAAATTCATTTATTTAATATTGTCTTGAAAGAGAGCATATAAATAGAATTTGAAAACAAATTAAAATTTCATAATAATGAATAGTTTTTCCTTATCTTCTTTATATTGTACTTATTTCTCTTCCTCTCTCTCTCTCTCTCTCTCTCTCTCTCTCTCTCTCTATCTATCTATTAATATTTTTAAAATTTCGTGATGGATAAATACAATTTAAGTACATTTTTATTACATTACATTTTCCACGAAATGAAGTTTTTATATTTTAATCAACTTTTTTATGACTGACATCATACAAATATGATTCGTAGAAAAGATGATTGAGAAAGACATTAAAATTTCCCAACCAAACGAACATAATCTTGTAAAACTCTCCTTTTCTCTCTGCACAAGAATGTAAATTATATAAATTACAGAAATTTTTTACAATAATTAATTCGTATAAAAAATATTACTTCTTTCTTATCAGCCATAAATATGTAAAATTTAGATAAAGATTTCATTAAAAATACAAAGATATATAATAGTTGTCATACTAAAAATAATTAATATAAAATAAATAATATGTATAATAAAAAATTAGGAGAACTAAAAATAATATACTAAAAGAAAGGTACTAAAATATAAGAAAAAAAGAGAAAAATCGTACAAATGTTTGTAGCCAATGTCAATGATATGCAATTTTAAAATTATTTGAAACTCACTAGAGTTCTCTCTTGCCTTTAAGAATGTAGTATATCATTCGTATAATTTCCGCAAAAGGTATAAAATTGAAATTATATTAATATTTATCAATTTTAAAAACACGTCACGACGAACTGACATGATTCTATAATCAGAGGGACAACATATTAATTTATATTACATATTAATTTTAACTTTTAAAATTGTGAATCAATGTTTCTGAACTTCGTTTTTTGTTTCCTATTGAGCGTATTAATTACTGCATTTCTGTCAATCTGCAAGTGACTTGCTCTCAATGGAAGATTTTATATTTCTGTTTTTTCGCTGAGGGTGACTCTAAAGTGAGCCGACACGTTCGACACAATAAATGAAGATAACCATTAACACCTGAGTATTATCTACATCTCCTAACTCTTCGCTCTTTACATCAGCGTTAGACTCTTATTAGCCTTCTCTGAATTTCTATTTTATTATTTAAGATTGAGAGTCCTTATTTATATATTTATGTAATTGTTTATTAATATTTATACTCTCCACATAAAAATAAAGTAAAACTCGTATATATGTATATGAAAGAGTTGTGTGTGAATAACATTATTTTTATAATTTATTCACTGTTTTCTATCATTTTTTTATTGTTATAATACTTTAACTTCAAAAATAACAATAAAATTTCAATTTTTTTAAAATTTAAATATTCAAGATAATTTATGTAAAGTTTCATTATAGTGCAAAGATTAGTTATTTTCTAAATAAAGTTTATTTATTTACAGTAAATAAAAATGTACCATATTAAAATAAAAATAAAGAAATGATATTCTTTGTACAATTATTTCATATGTATATAGTTTTACAATTAGTATTCATTTTTTTTATAGAAAGTATAAATATTAATAGAAAGTATAAATATAAATATAAATATTAATTTTGTACAAAAAGTATAAGTAATAATATATTTCCAATATTATACTTCTTACGGAGATTATATACGGGTGATACATCTTTGGGTGCGCTCCATTTGGCGCTTACAATGCTCGCAAGCATTATTTATCCTTATTTAATATTTGATAAACAATAAGGATGAAATGATTCCATGAGCGTTACGAGTATCAAGAGGAGCACACCCTTTAAATAGTGTCTGAGATCGAATCAGTGTTTCGATTTAAACCCGATTTGCACGTAGACAAACGTATCTCTTACCTTTGCACGGACAAAAACCTTTACAGGCAATGTGGACGGAGGTATGATGAATGCAGTTGTGGTACTCGAGTCGGCACGGCGAACTGTACGTGCGATTGTCGTTTCCGCAGAGGAATGTAGGCTTCACCACAGGACATTCCTGGCACCTGTAACACGGGAAAAACACCGACGGTGGCTTTAAACTAGACGCTTGGCTGTCGACACGCGTGTTTCTCGAGAGATCGGTTTGGCAAGTGAGAGACAAAGGACGGGACTCTGCCGGCTGCTCGCGCGCGAGAGAATATCGATATTCGATGCTCTCTCGCCGTGCACCGTGCGCGCCGTTTGTGAATTTTGTTAAACGACGTGTCACTGGATATCGTGAACGGCGAAAACGAGATGACGTAGGCCCCGTACTCGCGTACGTGTAGCCTTGATATGAAGCTCATAAAACTTCTCATAAAAATTTATGAATTCTCGTGGGAGACGACGTGCTACGCAAACGCTTTGCGCTGAGCTTTACAAGCTTTGCGGCTATTCTGGTTGAGCTATCTTGACGACACGTCGTTACAAATTGTCAACTATCCTCGCAACTATCTGTTTGCAAACAAAGGATCGTACAAACATATCGAAGAGAAAGACAGAATTAGTTATGATGCGATTAACGGACGATGAAAATCCAAGAACATATACAGTCGCGAATTATAGTTCAGTGAAATAAAGATCAAAGGCACCGCTTCGCGTAGAAAAGTATTGGCAGAACGATGCTCTTGGAAGTTGACGAGAGGCTGGAAAAGTCTCTAGTTTGCTCGCTCCTTCAGTACGAGGCTGAATAATGAAAAGCCAAGGATGTGCTGGGAAGTCAATTACAGATATGGCCGAGTTTAATCTCCAGAATTGCTTGCCTGCTACCGTCTAAGCGCACCATTGTACGTATTATTCTCGACGTGCTCTCGCTTCGACTGGCGCTTCACGGCCGCGTGCGCTCGCCTCGCCTCTTTTGTTCCCCCGTTAATTCCGATACTGCGAGAGAATCTTCCGATTTCCATGCAAAAATCTCGCCGTCGTCGACGCGGCAAATCTACCGAATTTCTACCGAATTTCTACCGAAAGAAAATGGGATGTTTTGATGAATTCTAGAAATAAGGGGAGAATAATACTATAGAGGAAACATTTTGGCTGATTGTGCACTTTTAAAGATTGCATAATCTACGAATATTGTGTTCGCGATTATGTTCAAATGTTGATCAAATCTTGTATTTATTCCTGCACTATCAAAATTAAATCTTTTAATATCAGAACAAAGAATCTCCCTCGTCTAGCTTACTTACATCCGCTGTTAACAAATTAATTCATCAAGATTTGCTTGTAAGACACATTCTGAATGGGGACAAAGAAAATTGCGTTAACTGTGAAGCTCTTACGTAGAATTAGCGGAAATTTTTCGCACGAGGCTACTCGCTTGTAAACCGAGATGCGTAATATGACGGAGCGGATAAACTGAGAAAACCGCAGGGACGACCAAGATACGAGACTAACATAGACAGTACCGTCCGCTTCACCTTGTGATAAAGGAGTTAAACCGGCTTAATTATTACGTTACTTGGTTTAAACTAATTATGCGTTTGCGCACGACCGCAAATTCTCGAAGGAGAACGTAGCTACTGACGCTATTGTGGTCGAATCCACCTTGCCTTGCGGGAAGCACGGGAGCCCCGCGCAATCTTCGTCGAAAGGGGGAGCTTTCACATTATAAATCACGTTATAACGTGTCGATATTAATTGTTCCATAATTCAACAGCAATTTTCGATGTGATGTCGTGGTCGCAGCAATTGTCGAGCGGCCGAGTTTTGCGGAAACGGAAATTCGGCTCGTGTCGAATTAATTGTGAGGTTTATGCATGCTCGGAGCATGCATCGGTGCGTACAATCATTGGCGATCTGTGCTTAAATTTCATATTTCACAAACATATTGTGTGAGGGAATATGAGGGAGGCAGATGTGACATGTATTCAACAGAAAGAGGGCGAATAGATCTAAAAGATTAATGACGAAAGAAGAATATATAAAGAGAAAAAGAAATAAAGATTTAACGATATACTAGATACACTTTTCCTGAATAAAATACAGTTTTTTCATGTCCGATAATAATATTGAAAAATATGTGAATTCCCACGATTCAGTTGGCAATATTACAGATGTAAATAAATTTCAGTGAAAGCGTATACACATACGTGAGTATGACGGGTCAAATGGTTATGGAAACTTTTGAAAGAGATATTCAGGACTGCGAACGTCTTTGCAACCAAAATAGAAGCATTGAAATTTAGTTTACTTAGCTCAGTAAACGTCTAATCACGTCTGGTACTTGCACTGATTGATAGACCGCTATTTATTGATCGTTAAACGGCAGGTCATTCGCTTCTCCTAAGAAAAAGTTTTCAGTTAGGTTTCAATTGCGCTTGATTGAATGAGACGTCAATGGTCCTCTTCTCGTGGTAGGATATTCAGCGAGGGAACAAATCGTATAACTGGAAAAGCGGGAAGGCGTGGCAGGTGGTAATGCACATGCCAATCCACCTTTAATCCACCCCTCTATATTGGGAGACCCGGCCGCCTGAGCGAAGCCGCCTGTGAGAAGCTCGAAACTTTCGTCAGGTGGCACTTGAACTTTATCGTGTCTACTTTAGATGTTCAGGATAAACCATTACCTTCCTCTCAACGATACTTCCGCCAGTACCTAAATCCAACAATCGAAACAAGATCGCAGTGCTGCAGCAGACACAAAAAAGTTATTTTGAAAACGGGAACGGATGTCCCACAAACGAAGTTGTAGAATATATAAAGCTTGACAAATTGGATGTTGGAGAATAGCGTTACCTACTTTTGCATGACGAGTTGCAGCTATTACGATGTGTAATTAAAAATTCATTGAAAATTAATATCGCAAGGCAGTGTTTAATTAATCGCCTGGGAAAGTTCCTCCCATATAATTCATCGTCGACGAAATGAAAACGTAGAGTGCACTTCACTCCGAGAAGTGCAGCAAGATAATTAACCGACGCTGATTATACTGATATTAATTAAATTGGATTCTCATTTGGGATTCAAATCAATTAAATGTACGGATTATTAATACGGGTTATTTACCAATGTTAAATTATCTTGAAGCATGAGATTGACTGTTTGTTTTACGAATACAACTGTTTTACGAATACAATTTATAATTACAGTACTGTGATAAACTTAGATCCCGAAATTACTTCTCTTCATTGAGTAAAGAAATAATACATTTATCAAAATACATTGCTAAAAAAAGACGTACTATTTCTACATTTTAATTAAAGAGTCTACAAAATAAATAATTCAATACATTATAAAATAAAGCCCATTTTAGATTATTTATAATCCGTATCAGAATTCAGAATAGAAAACCATTTATATAATAAAATTTGTATAATATAAAAAATACTAAAAAAAGTCAAAATGTATGAGTATATAAAATGGATATTAATACATACATAAGCGCATATCAAAAATTGATTTTAATTAAAATTAAAATGTAAAATTATAAATAGAATTTTATCCTGAAATTTCATGCAAATTATAAATCGTTTAAAATAAGTTTAATATAAAATAACATAAAATAAAAAAAGGTACACAAAATACGATATGATATGAATAACAGCAATTATAAAAGTAAAAATAATCAATTATAAATTATTATAAACTTCTAAATTTGCTAGAAACTTGAAATAATTAATCTGTCATTTTTAAGTAATTCTTCGAACTGAAAAAATTTAAGCGCACGATTTTGCTTATTATAGCTTGAAACATCTTTTCGTGTATGTTAAAGAGCAAAAACTTTTAACTTAAAATAAACTTCAAAATGAATGAAATGTAAATATAACCGGCAAAAATTAAGAAAATGATCTTTTATGTCTTCAGAAAGAATACATTATCTTTTAGTGTGGTAATTACATTAATAAAAATATTTTATAATCAACGAATATTTCTAACAAATAAACGTTTCAAAATTTTTCTGTACAATTAAAGGTGAGATAGAAAACTTTCATGCCATTTCTCATGATAGCCGGTGCTATCGGCAAGTTAAGAACTTAAATCCTAGAGGAACAAATAAAACTTCTCTATCTGTCTCGCATCTGAAATGTGTTCGTCGGCGATACATGTAGCGTGAGTACACGTCGTTCACTGTTATCATACCATTGTCGCCATTCACGATTTTCCTCCCGCCGCATTCCGACTGTCACGGTGATATTGCAGAGAAAACGGGACTGGGGCACGTGATGATGCGTAAGCAATACGGAGAGGGAAACAATCGCGGATCTTTCTTCGGTCTCAGTTCCGTTCGCGCATTTTCGCCGCACACCGTTTCGTTCTGTTCCGTTCCCCGTCGCTGCGCTTATATACGCCCCCGAACTTTTGATTTACGCGGCCTCGATGGAATTCCATGAATGCGAAATGTAATCCCCTACACAACCCCTCTCTCATCCCTTTTCCCGGCCAGTTACCTCGGGTCATCCCACCATATCACCATCCCACGTCCAATGTGAAACTTTGCGTTTCAATCGTGCCCTCGAAGTAACAAACGACGGCAGCTGCCTACGGGAAATATATTTTCAGCGAAAGGATGGGCGATTTATTTAGAGAGGAAGCGACTGGACACGAGCGGCAGCACGGGAGAATCAGAATCTATGAGAATCCCCCGGTCTCTCTGGCGGAAAATCCGTGGAGTTACTATAAAATGAAAGAAGAACTGTTTATTACCCTCCAGACGCTAACGATCTGCGAGCGTCAATAAGAACTTTGAGAAATATTCTTCGTAAGATGCGCAATATCGCTCAGTATAAAATCTTGAGGCCAGTCCTTCTAAGCTGTATTGAAATGAAATGATATTAAAATAAATTACATACCCTTTGCAATTCTGTATTGAGTTAAAAACTTTTGATGTAATGTGTGTGTGTGTGTGTGTGTGTGTGTGTGTTAGTAACCTTTCATATATAACTCTTTAATCGTTAAAATAGATGTATATATAGAGGAGAAGGTGGTATTATGGCTAGTGTACATATTGTGGCCTCCCTTAATATCTCCACTATTATATAGCGAATCCTAATGATTACTTATGGAATTATTAGTTCAGTAGCTC